TACTGTACTATTTAGTTTAGTTCGACTGTTGTTCTCCCTCTTGTCGGGAGTCAAGGTCCTAAGGTACGTTGTGATATCTATTATCTCCATCCGCCTGAACGTGGTCTAGTCATGCCTAGCGTCGACAGACACACTGCACGCAAACCGATGAGAACGTTGACTTCTGGAAGAAAGACGTCCGTAAAGCCATTTCGACTTTGAGCAGTGTGCACTCGCTCGTTTATCCAAAATGCTAATTCTATCGTAAATATTGAAATGCTTTGAGTTTTTTTCTCACAGGTTAAGATTGGCCTCTCTGAAACCCGGCCTTTGTCACAGAAGGCATTATATCAAGTATTAGTTAGGGGAGCCGTTTGATATGGTTTGATGGACGAGCTCAGGTTGACGAAACAGGGCTTTGGAAGCCAGGGTTGAAATGCTTCAATAATGATGAGGCATCACTCACCTGGCTAGTGTTGCGAAGTGCCTTCTAGGTAGGCAGGAATCTTTGTTCATCAAACATGACTTATTCCATTAAAATGTTGTATGCCTGTTGTGCAAGCTAATTGAGGGCTTCATGGTCTACATGCTGCATGGAAAGTGTTTCGTCTTGAAACCTAGTTTTGTTTGTAGCAATGTGGTATCACCATTGACAAAGACTTAGAACTATATGTTCTTCTGCTTGCTTGGCATTATAAGAGTTGTGATTTGGATGATGCGATAGAAATAATTCCATGGGGATGAGAAGTTTATCTCTTCTCAACTGATCTTTTTTTTAGGCGCCAGCTTAAAGATCAGGATGGAAAGGAAGTGATTCTCATTGGAATTTGATGAGAAATGGGTGTCAAGTGAATGATGCTAACTTAGTGACATTTGGATGCTGGTCAAGCATCTAGAATATTGGTTTTCTGAATTAAACATTGCTAACTCATCCCTATTAATGTAGCTTTGGAAGTTTATTTTTTCTTTTAGCTTGTGTATTTATGATCATCAGTCCTCGTTATTTTTGCCCCTTCTTTCTTTAGTTTAATCCCTCAATTTCCTGTCATTAGGTGATGGAGATGTCAGTTCTCTAGTGGATGCAGGATGCTTTTCCCATTCTGAGTGTGCATTTTGTAGTTATTATTGTTTTTTTGAGTGTGTGACCGAGGGAGTGGTTTGTAGAGTGAATGGTTTACAATTTATTCAGTCCTATATTATTTTCATCTGGTGAACAGATATTTCTGCATAAATTAGAATTGTGGTATTTTTTTCACTTTTTAATACAGTTTTGTTTAGTTTTGTAAATAGGATTTCACATTGTAAATACATATTAGGGTTAGATATTTTAAAAATGGTTGTTTTTATTCCTCATCACGAACAGGCAAATATTGTACATATGGGGACGTTGTGACTTCATAGAGAAAATGTGGCATTCTGGTGACTGTAGTAAGAATGTGTCATTTTGGTGAAAAGAATATTATTGAATGAGTGGGTTAGTGATTGGGTCTAACTAAGTCAGATGTAAGACAAATGGAGACCAGCCTTTCTCTTCGCAAATTTTAGGCATTGTGTCACATTTGATGTATTAAATCATCAATAAATAATTCTAAGGTGAATAAAGGATTGTAAGATACACCACGCACCTGTGTCTTATTACAGTATGTATGTGTATGTTTGTATGTATATATATATGTTGAAACTTGACTAATGCATGGAATAATAATGCAACACAAAAGGTACTTAGAACAAAATGTATTGAAACAAGAAAGTGTACACAATATTTACATATAGTCTTTTGTATATTCCTGGTAAGACCGTTCCTGGAGAATGTGTTGACTGAGTCGCAGTCAGGCACAGTCTCTAGTTGAATCTCTTGATTCCTTCCTCTCTTCCCGGTACCAACCATATTTATATGGTCGGTACTCCACTATGCAAATTAGGTGGATCCTACCACAACGATATATATATATATATATATATATATATATATATATATATATATATATATATATATATATATATATGTATGTATGCGTATGTGTGTATGTATATGTATGTACATATAAATATAAAAGTGAACATTGAAGTCAACACTTAGAGGCAACAGGCTGTTTCATGCTAGACGCAATCATCAGGCCACCTGTATGTATATATATATATATATATATATACATGTGTGTGTGCATATATATATATATATATATATATATATATATATATATATATATATATGGGAGAGAGAGAGAGAGAGAGAGAGAGAGAGAGAGAGAGAGAGAGAGAAAGATGTCCTATGACAGGAATCAAACCTGTATCCTACATGGTTTGATTCATGTCGGAGGACAACTATATATATATATATATATATATATATATATATATATATATATATATATAGATAGATAGATAGATAGATAGATAGATAAAGACATTGATATCCACATATACTCTTTATATAATACAAAAAGTGAATGATAAAAATATTCTTTGTATAGTTTTGTATGTTTTTTTTTTTTTATTTTGTTGACATATTGGATCCCAATAAAGTTCTTTGGAAATCACAAAGATTTTGTTTTTTCCTGCTGCCTTAAACAGTGCTTGATACTGAAGAGTATTTCAAATCCAGTAGATGTTAAAATTTGGGGCACCTTCTGGATTTAATAATTAGTAAGTTTCATGCCTTCTTTGGTTTAATTAAGTCTAATTAAGCTAAAATGCTGAAACTATTTAACCCATTAGGACATGCCATCTAACTTTTTAGGGAGGGTGTTACCTAAAATTTAAAATCTGTCTGCTGTTATTACCAGAAAAATAGATTAAAATTATAAGAAAACTTTATGCAGTAATGGGTCAATTTTGTTATTATTCCAGGAAGAGAAAATCAGTCAGGCCCAAAGTGAGCTAGTAAATTAGTTTTGAAAAAGGCATGCAACCTTGAATTTTTAGATGATTCCTTGAAATCCAGAGGGTAGCCAAAAACTTTCACCCTTTTGTGTATATATACTTTTATCCTTTTAGTGTATACATATATATATATATATATATATATATATATATATATATATATATATATATATATATAAAAAATATGATTCCATCGCTACACAGGAATTACCATGTTTCAAAATCAGAAGCTAAAATCTTCCAATTCAGTTATAGAAATTAAATTAAATTAAAAATGCAATTATAGAAATTAAATTATAATATTCAATTATAGAAATTAAATGAAATTAAAAATGCTTGAAAATGAAACAGAACTAAGTACTTTAATTTAATTTCTATAATTTGAATTGGAAGTTTTTAGCTTCTGGTTTTGAAACATGGTAATTTCCGTGTAGCGATGGTTTCATATTTTTAAAAAAATAATTATAATTTAGTCTCTTTTTGTGTATCGAGCACTGTTTTTTAAAAAATAAAAACAAAAATACTAAAGAACTTCGGATTATCAATCTAACGGTCCTTCCCTATTTTATCCATATATTTGCACAGAAACACACACACACACACACACACACACACACACACACACACACACACACACACGTGTGTGTTTGTGTGTTTGTGTGTGTTCCTACATATTATTTTTGTCTATGAAATATCACCACAAAACAAATATAAAATATTTTAGATATAACATTTTATTTACTCACAGCAGCATTGTCTCAAAACCCATTCCATGTTACGAATCTGCACTATCTGAAGTCCATCTGATGTACTGTTCCTTTTGTCCACTATTCACAATCCAATTTTTCATTTGCTTTTTTTATTTTGGATGTATTGTAATGTCATCCTATTCACAAAGATGAAGTGGAGACTTGAGGCAACAGAGATGTGGTTCTCCAAATTGATGCTGGGCAGAGTATGTGAGCAACAAGGACATGGAAACAAAACATTCCAAAATATTCCTTTCATAAACCTCTTTAGGTTTCACCAAAACATTTACCAGACATTTGCCAATATTCTGCAATCCGAATGCTTAGCCACACTGATGTAACCCTTACAAGTGATGAAAATAGTAATACCTACAGTCTGTTTGACACATTAAAAATTAAAATAATTACATTTGTGTGTAAGCATTTTATCTCTAAAATGAATTAATCTCCACTGTCCCATTTATGGGATGTTCGGTCTGGTTTGGTTTGTTGTGTTTTATGGCATATCATCGTCAATGGGTTATTTAATGCTGACAAGTTTTTTTTTCCTGGTAATATTTTGTTTTGTCAAAAATCTATTTCTGGTAATATTTTTTTTCCTCAAAAATGTATAGCTGCTAATATTATTTTAAAACATGTATTGCTGGTAATATTTTTTTTCAAAAATATATTACAGGTAATAGTTTTTTTTTCCTCAAAAATTTATTTCTAGCAACAATTTTCTACAAAGCATTTCTGGTACTAAAACCCATCCCTACACTTTTCTAATGCTTTTTCCCTGAGTTTCAGGGCCAACCACCCACCCACAGCCGGGACCCCAACAGGTGCCACCACCCTGGGTCAGGGCGGATCCGGGAACACCAGCAACCAAAAGGTGGCTCCATGCACCACAAAACCCAACCAGAGGCCCCGCAGTCAGACACAGTTCATCGTCTTACCCAGGGCGCCGATGTAGTTTATCATCATACCCAGGACGTGGATGCAATTTATCGTCATACCCAGGACATGGATGTAGTTTATCATCATACCTAGGATGCTGGAATGTTGGGCTTTAATGATTAATGATATATACACAGAAACCTATAATACTGTATTTTTTTTAGAAACCTATAATTGATTCCGGATTTTATATTAATTTTTGTAATTAATCAAACATCAAAATTAATAAGATTATGTATATGGATGGCAGAACAGGGACTGGCAGGTATAGTAAGGAGACAGATATTAGTTAGAGTTACAAAGAAGTTGTGATGAACCATGAAACCTGAAGGGACATGGCACATAGGAGAAGAAGAAGAAAGAATACTCTGCATGCTTAATTAAAATTTCAGTCATTTCAACATACTTTCTTATCATAAATGTAACAGACTTCTATATAACTGATGCTTACAGCAATATCACATTGAAACATTGGTTCTCATATGATCACCAAAGTTAAGCAATGTTGAGCTTGGTCAGTATCTAGATGGGTGACCTGCTTGTGAACATCAGGTGATGTAATTTTGGATGTGCAGGTGGTGTAATGGATAATGGCTGGGGATTGAAAAACAGAGAGCCGAGTTCCAACTCCAGTCATGTTTGTCATATTCATTTATATGCAAATACCCTTGGGAAAGGTATGAATCATCCACCTCATTTCTCCCCAGCTATGGGTTAATCAGTAAATCATTATTATCTTCAAAATCTATTACAATCTAAAAATATTTTCTGGCTGAAAAAGGTTGATAAACCTTAAAAACCCTTAAAAATAATCAATTTATATAACTGATATAAGCAAGTAAGATATTTTCTTAGTTATATAAGCCAAGATTTTAAAAATATTATATTTAAAACCAAAAGCTTTTGAAATAGCTGTTTTTTAGGATTGTATTTTTAACATTTTAGGTGCCATTTTAGGATGTTTTTTTCTTTTTTTGTAATGACTAGTTTTTGAAACTTGATCTTTTTAGTTGTAAAGAGAGTGTTTATTTACATTTACAAAAAGTGAAAATATCAATAGCAAAATTTACACAAAGTCAAAGTTGAACACAGTATCATTCTTATCAGCACAATCAGATAAATCTTGATTTAAACACCTTAAAATGTCCCAATTACAAGTTGACTGGGTCAGGATCCTCATTATGACTTACGTACAAATATTCATATTTCAAGTAAATTTCTTTTTGAGAAAAACAAATCACTATCTACCTAATTTTTGCTCTCTATAAAGTTATAAAATTTAAGGTAGTGTGTTAGTATAAACAATTAAGGAAGAAGCATACAAAAGTTGGGTTTATATTACAAACTGTTTATTCTTTTTTTTTTATAGAGGACACTGTAGGGAAACAAAGTTCTCAATGTCTCTTGGGTATGTCTGTTTTCTTTTTCTGGTCCAAAATTTAGGGTAAATAATGATAAGCATTGATATAATGGTTTAGCTCAGGTTGCACTGATTTGGAATGATCAAAGAAAAGTTATACTTATTTTATTGGTAGAGATTTAAGCATGGTTATAATATTTGAGCTTAAGTCAGCCTTGCGCTGAGTTGGAATGACCAAAATAAATTTTGTGCTTACTTTATCTCCTCCTCCTCCCTGATCCCCCTGTTGGTATATGTGATGGACATTTTCCTGGCCATAAAAAAAAAAAAAACAGCTAAAACTGCCTTGGATATATTCATCTGGAATTGCCCCAGTTGATCACATTTTTGGCAAAATAAGTCTTTCTTATTATATATATATATATATAAATGGCTAGTGCATGCTACCCCTGAACCACCCTGACTGGGGTTGGTGTTGCAAGCCTGATTGGGGTGCCCAGGAAGTGCTTAGTGACCTTTTACTTTTTTCTGCCTACATTTATATATGTTAAAAATTAAACTAAGCACAACTATTAAAAGATGAGATATTTTCATAGATTTTGACTTCATTCTGGTTTCTTTTTTTTTTGTTGTTGTCCAAATCCATGAATTTGTTTTGCTCATGATGAGTTTTGAAAAAACCCTATATAAAATTCGGTACTTTTTATTCATAATGTTGAATGTGTTGGAATTATTCAACTTTTTAACAGGAAAAATCTCAAGTTGATGTTAAAAATTGTTGTAAAACATTGTTGATTTATTTGAGATGGAATAATCTATTATGACATGTCTCTAATTTCTGTTTACATACATTGTATTTATTTTTAATTTTTCTAGTTCAGTTGTTCACCTTTATTACATATGATCCATTATTGTGCATGATTAGTTTTACAATAGAATTTGTATTTTATATGAATACTACTTTATGAAAATTGAGATGTATTAGGGTGGGTCTTTGTATCATACATTTGGTGGTGGGGGGACACAAGACCCTTGCCCTCTCTCTCTATATCTATCTATCTATATATATATGTATGTATATATATGTGTGTCTTTGACATTTAAAAATTAAAAAGTATGAAACAAAATTATTTTAACTTTTAATTAATTAAAATTAATTAATGGTGCCTACACACACACATATTTCTCAATAAATGTATGTACAGATAGATATACATATAGATATAAAGTTTTGCTATTTAGCATTAGTTGATTTTAGACATAAACTCTATTTTTTGATAAAAGTTTCAGTGGCCATTTTAACTTAAATCAATCTTCATTAATAGTAAGTATAACTTGAAAGATTTTTACTGTTTATATAAGAAATTCTGGAATGAAATGAAAACAAAAAGTTTCTTGTATCTCAGAATTAGGCAAGAGTTTCTTCAGACTTGTTGATTATGAACTATATTATTCAATTGAGCAGATAAACTACTTTTATTTTTAAAGAACTGTAATAATATGAAAATATTTAAATAATTTTTACTTAATAAACTTTATGAAAAAATAATTTTAATAAAAATAAATTTGAAACTTTCCTTTATGGTTTTTTTTAATTTTTTTCTTTTTTTACCAATCTACAGTTTGGAATAATAAAAAACTAAAATAAAGTGAAAATTTAAAAAAATAATCTTTGAATTTAATTCATATTGATATTTGTACTATTTTTAATCTGTCACCTATTAGGACTTCATTTATCTTCAAATGGTTTAATTTCGGAGGAATTTAATTATTTTATTTTGAATGAGTTTTGTTTGTAATGAAATCTCATGCTGTTTCATTTAACAGGTGCACAGCACACGCAAATGCGCGAAACATTAACAATTTTTTACTTCTCGTTGAAAGAAGTATTAAAATTAGAAAAATGATGTTAACAATTATTTTTTAGAGTGACTGATTACTTTTTAAAAATTTTTTATAGCCTGGAGAAAGATAATTTTTTCTCACGTGTTTTTAAACTACCGAAAAAAAAAAAAAAAAAAAAAAAAGACTCTTTTTTTTGACGGAGAAGATATTTCTTTATTGTAAAAAAAAAAAAAAAAAAAAAAAAAAAAAAAAAGATATTTTTACGCATAACCGTTCCAGTAAAAATAACGTTTTGGCATTTTATCAATGAACATGTTGCAGATTTTAAAAATACTAATAATACGGAAACTTTTTTGGTTCGCTAGTTAAAATGTTTCTTCTTTAAAAAGTTATGAGGTTGATTGTTGTTTTATGCTATGGGAACTTCTCTTAAGACATTTATAAAATGCATTTTTAAAAAAAAACTGAACCATACGGCATGTTAAATACTAAATTTTTATATACATATATAATAAATTTGTCGGTAGCGTAAGTGTTAGGTCTTCACAGTTTATAGGACTGAGCATTGCGCCGGGTAAATAGACATATGTAAGGCCTCCTTATTGCTGGTTGAAGCCGTTAATGTTAAGCAACACCATTGGCTCAATTTGCCTGTCGTCATAGGCTTTGTGTCATGGCGCCTTGCTTTGGACTTCCTGTTTCAGTTGAGAGAAACTTAAGATGACTTTGAAGGTATTGTACTTTTTCCTACTATATTTAAACGCATCCTTACTCACTGATGGTTATCTAAATGCCCCACGCACCGATATATCTAATGATTGAGTTGAGGCCATCATTTGTTCGATTTCGTATAGACTGGAAAAACGAAACAACAGAACATTCTCACTCGGTAGGCTGGAGAAGTTACTCGATCTCTTCGTTTTTGTTCTATCAAAATATCAAATGTGAGTTAAAAAAAATAAAGGCTTTTATTATTTATATTGCTTAACTGCTACTGTTTTAGATCGATTGATTTGTTCCTTTCTTAGTTGTTAATATTTTTGTATCGTGAAAATTTTATTAATGAATTAGAGAGAAAAAAAAATCATGTTTTCCATTTTACTTGTTAAAAAGAGCGATCCCGGACAGATCCTTTACTATACTTATTTGGAACTAAAATACATTTTTTTATTACTACTCAGTAAATTAATTCTTAGCTTCGTCTCATTGTATATTTGTAGATATATTTTTTTTTAAGTGATTAAATTTATTTTTTCTTGTTTTTAGTGTGTACTTTAAGTCATTTCCGCTTTGGCCTGTCACAAAACTAAAAAAAAAATGCTATAAAAAACGAAGAGAGTGCTTTTTTTTTTCTTTTTTAAATAAAGATAAATTTCTTGACGACTGTAATCGCTTCTAAAATAATAATTATATAATTTCCTTCATGTTCTGTTGCCCATTTGTTGGAAATATCAACATGCTATTTGCAGTAGTAATAATAATAATAATAGTAGTAGTAGTATTAATGATAATAATAATCTTTATTTTCATTTCTAAGTTTCTAACCTTGCTCTCGCCGGAAGAAGATTTTCGGAAGTTGTCAAGTTGCATGTCGTGGACAAAAGAAAAATTATCATTGCTAGTCATTTAAATACTAAAAAAAAAAAAAAATGACAACATTCAACTATTTGAACACCAGAAGAGAATTCCGATTTTTAATGGCAATTGATTCATAGCACTTAAAACTGAATGAATTTCTCTAAACATACTTTGGATTGTCACGATCATATTGAAAGTAAATGATTTTTATAGTTTAATCATCCATTTGTTGGAAAGTTCGTTATAATTTCTTTTCTTCATTTATTGTACATATGTTCGACATTATTTATATATATATATATATATATATATATACACACACAATAAGGGAGAAGGCAGAGATTTCCATGAGCAACAGAAAATGTTGATCACTACACAAAAATGGTTCATATTATTTATTTTGTCGTTAAGCCATTTGCTAGCCACACTACAATTTCGTTTACAAAAAGTTATTTCCAGATTCAGCGTATTAATCATTTGAACGAAAAAACTGTAGTGTATTTTAATTGATACATTCATTTAAGCATTTTTTTACACTATCCAAGTGAACTTTGTGTAGCTTTATGGATTGAATATTTTTCTTCTATGTGTTAAAAACTAATCTGGTTTGTTTTAAGGGAAATTGAGATTGAAGAAAATACCATATGGAGTATTAGTAGTAGTGAATCGATTCGAGTCTATCGAATAATACCAAAAAAGGCCCATTGAACTGTAAAAACTTGGTTAAATTGTAAATAAATTTCAATAAGCACAGGCAAAAAAATGACTGTTCTCGCC